TAACAGATGCATGATGTGTGGCCGGCGCTCTGCTTTGGAGCCGGCACGCTGTAATGGGGGTGGGGAGGTCTCCGGAAGAGGCTTTCAGCGAGTGAATGATGCTCTGATCGTGGGTTAGTACTCTGATTGTAAAGAGGCTTTATAAATACAGCTGAAACAAACAGGTGATTTTCATTAAGACGTAGAAAATAGTGATTTTGTTTTATTGAAGTATCTCAACGGACTAAGACACTTATAAAGTGTAGTAGAAATATCAGAGGTGAGGACACTTTACTGTGGTGTGGGCCAAGCTGTGTTCAATTCAGCCAGTTCATAAAGATACATAGATGTAAATGACTAATGCAACTACACTGTCTGCTATGAGCTAGTCTCCAGAGTATTCCTAAAACACAGGAATGAGCATTTTCTGCATAACTTTGGTTTACCGCAGAGCTTATTTTCTGAATAAATCTGGAGCAATCCCATTGTTTTGTTGTTCATTTTCCAAGTATGTCATCCCTACAGCACTCTATTGTTCTAACAAAGTCTTAGACAGGCCTCAAATATGTCTGCCGGCCTCATGAATATATAGGACCCCTAAATATGAGCTCATTCAGGCTGCTTGAACTGACTGAACTGGAACCAGATTGACTCCGGCCTCGCTACTGGCCTAACTTACATTCCATATATAACTGTATGAAAATAGAAACATTAATTAGATACATCTTACATAAAAGCTTTTCTCTCAACATATAAATACCAGGGGAAAAGTGTGTGTGTGTGTGTGCGTTGGGGGGAAAGGGAAAAGTGGGGTTTGATTGTTCTACAAAGCCAAACAACTGCAAAAAACACCATAGAACAGTAAACAAAACCATAACGCTTCAAGAGCCGTTTACCGTCCCTGTGGTGTTTCCGTACCTCCACGTGTAGCATCCGTTTCACATGTTAGAGGAGGGGGTGTGGGACGTCCATTTGCCACTGCGTGTACAGTATGAAGTATCACGATATACAGAAGTCATTTTACAGCACCGTCGTACTCCAGCCATGAGGCTCTCAGGAATACTCCAAACGTTATGCACTCAAGCTCTACGTTTGAAACTGCAATGAAACACCAATACGTCACGTGTATGTGCTTTAGGATATGGCCTACTGGAAAAGTTCTACATTTGTTGTGTACTAAGTTCACTTGCTTAGTTGCAGAGAATAAGATGGATACGAAGCCAGATACAGCATAGTGTGCCTAAAGCTCACTCAGTAACATATCTCTTGTTTTAATGTGAAGTCCAAAGTGGGACAGTTTCCTTTGGTTTCATTCAACCAGCTGAAGTCACCGTGTCAAACTGTAGAGGTCCTGCTGGGTGGCTTTTACCCATAAACCAACACGGCTGCAACAATTTCAATGTAAAAATAATGTATGTAGAGTTGAGCTTGATTTGGGAACAGGCCAAAGTGGCTCTTGCTGTGGGAATGGGCTTTATGAGGAACGTGTTGCATGGGGAACTTCACTTCACTTTCAAGTCTCTTATGGAGGTGTTCATCTCTAAATAAAAGCTTCTGAGCCAAAAAGGTTCTGGCTACTAATTGAGAATTTATGTTAAACAAATGTTGAACTTTCCCTTTAAACTATCCAGAGGCCTCGCTGATAATAATACCACATCGTTGAGTATGTAAATAAGGAAAAGTGTTTTCCTATATCTGTCGTCAGACTGCTCTAACCCTAATCTGTTTATTCATATACTGTAACATACATGTCATGCCTGTGTATGAGATTAGCATGTTAAGTATTAGATTGGTATGTATTTACTTCTACATTGTGTGTAAGAATGTAACCCAGCATTTCTTATAAAACACACAAATCTTCTTGGCATCTACTGTAAACTGCATGGCTGTCACTCAAAGCATCACCAGACAACCACTAACAGGTGATGGCTGAGCGAGGTGTGAAAAATACAACTCATTTGAATTATAAGGATAATTATAAGAAGAAGAAAAAGGTTGCTATTCTAAGAAACTAATTCTAAGGGTTAACTAAAAGTGAGTGTTAGTTTTAAACATCTCCAGTGGTGTTCCAGGCTCATCAAAGAATAGACAGCTCAGCATGCGGCGGGCGGGTGGTGTGTGAGGTTATAGGGATTCAAACAGCGACGATTGAAGGCTGGCTAAGGAGGCGAGAGAGAAGCAAAACGTCACACTTCATGACATTTTAGCTTCTCCTACTCCCACCAGTATTAGTTTAATTGATTGAGTGTTTTTGGTGAAATGCCCTCCAATACGTCCCCTTTTTATTCTATCATAGAAACGCCTTCCATTTCCTCCAGCGCTCCAGATGAGGACGCAGAGGAGCCAATTTACAGGAAGTGTTATTTATTGAGATTGATTTCTGCCCCTTGTAGCAAAGGGGTTTATGTTGTAATGCCAAAGCCATCCCTTCAACCTCCGCTGCCTGAAGATAATGAGCTTTGAAGCAGGGTCTCTGGGTGCCGCACCCTTTCTAAAGAAGGCACTATGGGTGCTTCGCCATCTCGATGACCGAGACGGAGCGACGCACCCCGTCCCCGCGCGTCTCTGAAGCCACAGCTGTCTGTCGTCTGGTTTCTGAGAGAGCCATAAACGGGACCATTCAAGTTAATGCTGGCGGCTTGCTGATCTACAGTCGAGCGTTTATATCTCCTCGGAGCGTCACCGCTCAAAGTATCACGGCCTCCACAGCACACGCGTATATCTCGCGGCTTGTCTTTCGTAATCCACCGTTTAAATCTCGGGCCGCGGTGCAAAGTGGACCGTGGCGCTTTGAGCCCAACGTGTCGCAGCCCGAGACCCACTAGAGGTAGAGGTAGCTGACCCAGTAGACTATGTTGAAGAGCAGGAAGGAGGTGGGGAAGAAAACCCGAGAGTAGGCGTCCAGCTCCCCGATGTTGACGTGGACGCGTCCTTTCCTCCAGCCGCCTTCTTTACACTCCTCGTAGCAGCAGAAGAAGCTCTTGCAGTCCTTCCCGTCGAGGCACTCGTACAGGCAGTTGTCGTCGTACTCCTGCCAGAACAGAGAGTTGCCCATGGGCATCATGGAGCGAGGCGCGTGACCCATGTTGAAAGATGAGTAGACCTGTGTGGGATGACAGAAAGCTGATCAGGTTTGTTTGTGATTGGAGCAGCATATTGATTATATCTATATCTATATATATATATTGCATATCTCTAATTGCAATATGCTTGTTTGCTGCATTGCATTGTGGTCACAAAGCCCTGACATGTTCATTACTGCTGTTTTAGATTGCTGAAGAACTCCATCAAGGCCCAGCATTGATGTGTTGAATACAAATGTAGAAATGTACCAGCTGTTCGGACTTTGGTCATAAAAACTAGCAAATGACAAAATGGGTCCATCGCTGCAAAAAGCATTCTTTAATCGATATGCGTTTCCAAGAACAGAGAGAGATGTATGGGGTTGTAAAAATCAGATCGACTCTTGAAAATGTGTCTTTTTTAGTAATATTGAAGTACAGAACGTACACATATGTCATAGAAAGAGAAACTACAGCTTTCAAAATACATAATGACAAGAAGTATTATTTAGTTTGAACAGAGAAGTTCACTATGTGACTTCCTCCCTGGTGTTTATGACATTGTGAGGGACAACCTAATTGGGGTAAAATCTCCAAACATCTCTCTACTACTCAGCGAGAGGAAGAGTGGGAGGTGAGAGAGACAGAGAGCTAGATGTGGAGACACAGCATTGACTGAGTGGGTGGGGGAAAAAGGAAAAAAAAGCAGCAGGGGGGGGAATCCCATGGGCATCATGGAGCGAGGCGCGTGACCCATGTTGAAAGATGAGTAGACCTGTGTGGGACGACAGAAACTGATCAGGTTTGTTTGTGATTGGAGCAGCAGGGGTAGGAAAACATGAGGCTTCCCCACAGACAGAGCAGAAATACAGAGAACCAAATGAAGCACAACTTAATTGTTCTGCCTGCAATGACTGTCTGTACAATTGTGAGAAACGTTGTCTGGAAGTCCTTTGGGAGGGAACAACGGAGGGGAAGTGGAGCGGTGACGGCTGACTGGTGGATGTTTGCCGCCATTAAAGTGTTCTCAGCAGGTGCAGCCTTGAGGACGCCCACACAGGACATTAGGCTCTGAACAGGAGGCATGGTTTCACATGTCACAAAGAAAGCATGGTGCACTTTCTATGTTGTTGTGGTCAATGAAAATACTTTCTGAAAGCTTTAATCAGTCTGAAGTATTTTCATGGCCCTTAAATTCAATGTGCCTATTTGTGATTAGCTCGTGAGGATGAAGATTGAACTTTTTATCCCTTGTTTTTCAACTATATTACAATCAATGCTACTAATTCTCTGGGTTCCCAAGGTTGCTATGACACCCATAAACCTACTGTCTTTAAAGTAACTAATATGTTTGGGAAACACAGTGTCTGGAGAGACTACTGGACATTTTGTGTGTCAACATTTCTCGGTGTTTGAAATGTCTTTGTTTCTGTTGTTTTGGGATTCTTGCAGTGATTTGTTTCACTGTCCCCTTTGCAGAGTGCACGATACGCCAGACAAGATGAGACATGCATGCTCTACAATGTGTTTTGAGAAGCTGTGGGTGTGGGAACTGATATACAGCAAATGGAAAGCTCCAACATATTGCTCACACTTCCCGTTACCATTCTCTGTGTCTTGGCAGGAGGTGTGCGTAGACTGTAGGCGCAGTAGTTGAGCATGGCGTACTCGATCATGGCGGCGAAGACGAACAGGAAGCAGACGGTGACGAACAGGTCCATGGCCGTCACGTAGGACACTCTGGGCAGCGAGTTCCTGGCCACTGTGCTCAGCGTGGTCATGGTCAGCACCGTGGTGATACCTGGGGAGGACAGCAGTAAGTATGATGAGTGAAACTGGTCAGCACCAGTGTTCATTTTCATTTTGTTTTCCTTGAAGAGAAAGTGTTAATGGTGGACTATTGGACATAGAAAATGCAGGATATTTCCCCCCCAATTGTCCGTCAAAATGCATCCCTGTCATTGGTTGAATTAGTTGGGATTATGGGAATCTGCACACGTCACTCACAAGTAAAGAGTTAAGAGGGAAATGTCGCTTTACGAATGTTAACACTTGATATTGTCACGTTAATTCCAATTTCAGATACGTGTATTTGCCGAACAGAAATAGTTGAAAGAGAGAAAACATTTGGACTAAAACTGAACTGAAACGTTTTGAGTTGTGGCTGACTAAAACGAGACTAAAACTATGAAGGACTAAAATGCGACTCAAAGTAATAACCATTTTCTTCTAAAGATCAAATCTGAAAATGAACACTGGTCAGCACTGGGGCGACCGATGCTGAAGTTGTGATTAAGTAACGAGGGCAGAGGTTTATTAATGACCATTATTAACGCATATGGGGTTTTCTGGGTGGATGTCCACATTATTGAATCAATCCTGTTTCTTTTCAACAGCCAAAAATCCTGAAACACGACCTGTCTGTAAAGGGCGAGCGCAGTGCAGCTGTAATGCTAGGTGTTTCTTTTCTAAAAGATATTCTATGTGTTATCTACATAACACACTACACCTTCTTTCAATTACTTAACACAAAAAGTTAGGAACTCTCTGTTTGGTAGACTATTTATTTGTTGTAACAATGCTTCTTGGCAATACATCTTCTACCGCTGTGGAAAGCCTGTTTATTTACCTTTCAAATGGTGTCACATTTGTGAGGAACATGCATTTGTGGGATGTTGTGGGATGTTGGTTGCACCCATGACAAATGTGACAAACCTCCTCTGCCAATGCCAAGCAGGTGGATTGTCTTGAAGTCTGATGAATCAAGACATACTGGGAACAATTTCTCGATTAACAAAGTATTTCTCTAACAAGCAGCCTTGATAGCGTGTGGAAGAACCAAACACAGCCTCACCAGCCTGGAGGATGGCACCTCATTCTTCAACCACTCTTTTTTCCCCAAGTCAGCCAACGTGGTCGTGTTGCTCACTCTGGCACGGACAGCAGGGCCAGGCTGATCCCAAAAGTGTTCAATGGGGTTGAGGTCAGGACTGCAGGTTCCACTTCTGGAGGAAGTCTCTGAGATATTGGATTGCCACTGATCTCATAAATTAATCTCGATACCTCTCTGCCTTCATCCAATGCCGAGAAGCCTGTTTTTCCAGAGAGGGAGACGCTACTTCTGCCTCCACCAAAACGTAATACTCTATCGGTGCAACAATCAGGAAAGAGTTCTCCGCATCTCCTCCACATTGTGGCCTTACGATCCAAGTGCCTGGACTCATCGCTGAACATAAACTTCCTCCACATATTGAGGTTCCAGTCCAAACGAGCCTGAAAGTCAAAGCCAGTCATGGCAGGCGTACAAGACCAGAGATCGGCTGCTGTTTGGCATTAGCAGAGGACATCCGTCACATTTTGTCTTGGTGGCTGTCGATCCAGCTGCCTTGAGATCATTAACAAGTTCCTCCTGTGTAGTTCTTGGATGATCCCTCACCTTTCTCATGATCATCAATACGAGGCGAGATCTTGACCAAGGGCGATTGACGGCCATTTTTAGTTTTCATCCATTTCCAAATAATCACACCAACAGTAGTCTCCTCCTCACCAAGCTGCTTTCTGATGGTCTTGTAGCAGTCTAGCCTCGTGCAGGTCTAATCTTGTCCCTGAGGTCCTTAGACAGCTCTTTGCCCATGGTAGAATCTGATTTATTGATTCTGTGGAGAGATTTCTTTTATACAGGTTACAAAGTTGATATTATAAGTACTTTCCTAAAGGAAGATTACTTATTTAGCCGGTCTGTGGGAGCCAGAATTCTTGTTTGTTGCAAGGAGATCAAATACTTATTTGCTCCAGTGTACTCAGCTCTGCTGCTCATCCCACAAATGCATGTTCTTCATAAATGTAGCACCATTTCAAAGGTTAATAAACAGGCTTTCCAACGGTATAAGATGTATTGCCAAGAAGCATTGTTACAACAAAGAAATAAACTACTGTAACACGCCTGGTTTCCACACACTGTACCGTGCCTTATTTCCACATAAAATACCATGTTACATTATGACTTTTTAGTCATTTTGAACAACGCCTGGTTTCTACATACTAGGGCTGTACCCGGATATTCGGAGCCCGAAAAAAAAAAATGGTATTCAGGACAGCCCTACTACACACTTATTTCGTCCAAAAAATACAAATGTTTTTACCTTAAAAGTCATAGAATAGCGTCAAATATGCACAAAAAAACCAACCTTGTACAGCATGTGGAATATATGCTACAAAAACTCAGGTATAGCATGTGGAAAATATGGAGACAAGTCAGTCTTTTTTCGTCATGCATGACTAATAAAGTCAGTATAGCATGTGGTAAATACGCAAATAAACTCATAGTTTCGTTACATTTCTAAACACCTGGATTATTCAAGAAGGCATTGAGGAGTAGTACCTGCCAAGTGACAGTGACATAGTAATAATGTTACAAGAACATACACATTTCAGGCTGAAACTAACTCGCATATCAAGTACATTACAATTACACCAACTTCTTAACCGTCACCTGGACCACCAGTCCCTGCTGTGAAGCCCATCCAACCTTCTCTAACATAGCTGCACAATACCAAAGTGGCTGTTATCGCTGTCAATAATTACCCGCCGTGATGGTATTCTAATTGGAGCTAACTTCTGTGTCTCATTGTGTCATCAGTGGCATTGTTTGAAAGACATTACTCCCCACAGTGGCTTGAGGGAGGATTTTGTGTCGGCTCGGTGAAATGAAATCAATTATTTCAAAGACAGATGAACCCGGAGACATTAATGCCCACTGGGGGCATCGATATCTACTGCTGCCACACACATCATCTTTCCCTCTCATCACCCCTCCTTCCACTTTCCCTTCTTCCGTCTTTCATCCTCGTCTCCCACAAGTCTTTCATGGCAGTGTGTGCCACTGTTTTCGCCTCTGGTTTCCATAGAGACGAGTTTGCTCCCGTCTATTTGCAGCAACCTCCTCTGGTCTAGTGGTCGTCTAGACTTTCCTCCTTTCCTCCCGCTCATTAGACGTAAGCTAAGTAAATCACCTATGTTTTTAATACCAAACATCTGTTCACATTGTGTACGGCAAACAGTGTGATCTCAAGGAAACAGCCAGAGTGTTTCCTCCCCAGCCACCCGTCGCTGCTCACAGTTTGGGCTGCTGTTTCAAATCAATATCACCAGTTTCTGTCGTACAGTTTAATTCATTCTGTGGGAACGCTCGCTTCATGATGCCATAGCAACCGGCTGATTCCTGTCTGTGCAGCCGAACTGAACCTCTAAGTCGAGAGCAAGAGAGAGATGGCAAATACACTGCAGGATAATATGAACGGTGTGATCACAGAAATAACAAAGAACACACACATTTCACATGTGCAGTTATTGGGGGGTGCTAACAAACAAATCAGATGTTGACCTTTGCTGTGTGTCCAGGGGTTGGACAGGTGTTTTCATGGACTCGAGGGGAACCAGACAGGGATCAGAGCCCAGATCACAAGACAGCATGAGTTATATCAGAACTACACACATAATCTGACCAAACACCACTTTATGCACGTCTAACCGGTCTAACCATTGTGTCAGTTTAACACAAATCCTAACATGCCGTCCAGAGGGAGTTTCAAACACTCCCTGCCGTCCTGAAACGCCTCCATGAGACTCCTTTGTAGACCATAATGACATCACCATGTAACAGTCACGCTTCTATTGGCTAGCACTCCAACTAATTGTACAGGCAAAGGGGCGGGACATCTCTCAGAGGTTAACCAATCACAACAGAGCCGGCCAGCTAACCAATCAGAGCAGACTGGGCTCTGGTTTCAGACAGAGGGTGAAAAGAGGTGCTGCAGCACAGACAGTATGAGAACAATAAAGAGCTTTTTGAACATTAAAGCATGGAGACATGTCCCAGTAGAGACACTACATACTGATATACACCTGAACATCAGCAGGAGAGGACTCTTTAAAGTAGAGACACTACATACTGATATACACCTGAACATCAGCAGGAGAGGACTCTTTAAAGTAGAGACACTACATACTGATATACACCTGAACATCAGCAGGAGAGGACTCTTTAAAGTAGAGACACTACATACTGATATACACCTGAACATCAGCAGGAGAGGACTCTTTAAAGTAGAGACACTACACACTGATATACACCTGAACATCAGCAGGAGAGGACTCTTTA